CACAAGATGGAAAAATAAAGGTAAAGGTTTAGTTCCTAATCAGCTCTATTCAATAAAAACTTTCTAATTCGTATTATCTTCATCCTGCCAATTTGACTGCTGGGAGAACTGAGACACTTGAGGAAGTCTTGAGCAGTCTGTTTTGACATTGTTACGCTGTAATTGCACTTCAGATAAGTTTTATTTACTAATGCAATTTAATGCTGGCGCCCCGAACATGCTGGAGCATTGAAATGAAGCAATATATTCTTTGCTTCATATGTATAATCATTCGAAAGCAGCTTCATAAAGATCCTTAATATTTCCATAAAGATCCTTAATAGTTTACTTATCACAAAAAAGAAAAAAGATCCTTAACATTTGTAGGAGCAGGAGAAGGACTCCATAATCAATGAAAAGAGAGAAGGATAAAAAAACCATAATGGCTATTTTTGCTTAAGCTTTGCCTGTTGAATCAGAAACTTTAATTACTGAATCAACGCAAGAGTCCAAGTTGTCTAATTTATGGCGCATCCTTCATATGCCTCTTCATACGACTTTATTTAACCCTCCAAGTTGTCCAAGTTGTTGCTGTGCAGTTACTTCTCTTTACAGTTTGTTACTCTTTGTTGTCTTCTGTTTTTTTCCTCTTTTTGTTTTCCTATGTCAACGTGTTAGATCTGGTTTTGGCTTGCTTGTTCTTATGTTACTATGTGTGATAGGTTTGGCGTATAAGGACTGGTCAGTGCTTGCGCCGTCTTGAACGCGCACATTCTCAGGGTGTCACCAGTCTTGTCTTCTCTCGAGATGGAAGTCAGATCTTAAGCACATCCTTTGACAGCACAGCAAGGTTTTTATCCTTTGACCATTTGCTGTGATGGCATGTCATCACTAGATGTTAGACATAGTGGTTTTAGCTAAATGATATCCTCGGATGCAGTCGAAAAGGGAAATAAACTGAAAAATATAACGGCTGCATAGCCATAAATTGTCTGCTGTTGGTCTTGGTTGGGAGAAGCATGCCTGATATCTCTGTTTCATCTTTTGTAGAATTCATGGCCTGAAGTCAGGTAAATTGTTAAAGGAATTTCGCGGACATTCATCTTATGTGAATGATGCCATCTTTAACAATGATGGATCTCGAGTCATCACGGCATCTAGTGACGGCTCAGTGAAGGTAAGATTACTGTCTTTCAAGGGATGACTGAGAGAAGCATGCCATATTTTTTTTTCCAATTCTATTTAATTGGGATTATCTACTCTATTCTTTGTTCATAATTTGTCTGAGTTGCCTCAAAACAGGTCTGGGATGCCAAAACTACAGAGTGTCTGCAGACATTTAGACCGCCACCTCCTTTAAGGGTATTCGATTTGCCTGGGGCATATTACCACTATATTATTTATTATGTGTTAGTTTTTTTTAAAAGATTTTGTTTTTTGAACTCGTTTGCTGCTATCTTTTTCTCCTACAGGGTGGTGATGCATCTGTGAATTCTGTCCATCTTTTCCCTAAGAACACAGATCACATTATAGTGTGCAATAAGACGTCATCTATTTATTTGATGACACTTCAAGGACAGGTAAGCATTGTTGTTTGTGGATCATTTTTCTTTCCATTCTTTATTTTTTATTTTGGGAGATTTTCCGGGAAAGAGGTAAGGTCCGCGTATACATTACCCTCCCCAGACTCCACTTGTGGTATTATACTGGGTTTTTTGTTGTTGTTGTATAGTCCGGGAAAGAGGAGCGAACAAATTGGGAAATGGAATCATTTTATACTAGCAACTGACATTTTTTATACTAATTGAAATGTCAAATTCGTTTTCTAAAAGAAAACATAAGGACAATGGACTGAAGTGGAGTTTAGTAGAAGAATTCAAATAGTAAGTGAACTTATGCTATGCAATTGTCATGTAGGTCGTTAAAAGTTTCTCATCTGGTAAAAGAGAAGGTGGAGACTTTTTGGCTGCTTGTCTATCACCAAAAGGAGAATGGATTTACTGTGTAGGTGAAGACAGGTATAGTTGAAATTTAAGTCCCTTGCTTTATGGAGTTTTGAGATTGATGCCATTATTTCTTATTGCTACAGAAAAAGAGAGAAAGAGAGTGTGACTTTGTTGTTACTTGGTGAACTTTGATTTTATTTCATCCTTGAAGATTTCTCTCTTCTTCTACATTTGAAACTTCAAGGACTTGCTGCTATAGATTTGTCTACGATTGAACTTAATTACTATATTATTCATAAATGGTAGAGTTATTCTGAAACTACTACTGCTCTCTTGTATCTACTTTTGAACCGGCTTATTGTACAGTGGAAAATATCTTTTTTTTCCCTGCACTCAAAATGTGTCAGTTATGTGAACTTTATTACGTTGTTGATATTGATATTCAGTGGGGAAGGATTTATCCCATTTATGCTGATGATGTGGTTTGTGTATTCCAACAGAAACTTGTACTGCTTTAGTTATCAGTCAAACAAACTGGAACATCTGATGAAGGTACGCTTTAATTCCGATGTGAAGTTTGTCTACCACATCTTCTTTCCTTATTGTCACAGTACAAGTCATACTTGTAGAGTTAACACTTTGAGCTCGGTATTGTTATAAATCTTTCTTTTCTTGCTTTCTTTATCTCACTCGCTTGCTCACTTAATCATTACTGGGATGTGTGCGTATGTACCTAAGACGCACGTGTTCACATACGTGGATGCTGCCGAGGCTAAGTTATATGTTTTTTTTCGGTTTGTCAAGAGATAAATAACAGTGCGAAGAAGGATATTGATTTTTCTCCATGGCTCATCCTCCTAATGCCTTCATTCAAGCCAAGAGAAGGGGAACAATGATAACTTGCTGATGTGTTGTGCAGTTTTCAGTTTCTTACCTAATATTTATACGAAAAATTAATGGATACCATGGATATTTTGGTTTAAAACATCTTATATTTCTTCTCATAATACCTCTTCAACCAACCTGCTAGCAAAATAAGAAAATGATAGAAGGTTAGTTAATTGATTCTGCGGTTATTTCTCTCTAATTTCATCCTCAGTTATACTATCTCATTTTTTTGTTTTACCAAATCATATTTGTTTTAATCAACATTTATTCAGTGATAATGGTATATAGACTATTTTCTTTTGTTTCCTCTTAATCCTCCCAAAATAATCTGTTGTACCATTAAACCTCTCATCCCTTCTCAAACAACAGTAAACTTATCTGCCTCCTGCATTCACATGCACATGTATGTACATATACCGTATTGCATATTGTCAGGTATGGACGTCGAATATGTTTTTTTTTTAACAAGTGATATGTTAGTCATTCTTTGTTAGGGGTGCATTAAATTTTAGGTGGGTTTTTAGTGTTGTTGGCTTTAGGATCAGGATAAAAAGCAAGTCACTGAAAGTTATAGTTTTCTGCTTTATGGCAGGTACATGAAAAAGAAGTAATTGGTATCACTCACCATCCCCATATAAACCTTGTCGCCACCTATGGAGAAGACTGCACCATGAAGTTATGGAAGCCTTGAGGCATTCTTTGCCAATGTTGATTTCGGTGTAGAAGTGGAAAAGATTGTTAATTGTGATCCAATGATAGCCAACTTTATGTATTTGTATATTTATCTGACTTTTTTTTATAACTTTAGTCCATTCAATTAGATGCCTCGCGCAAATATCTTCACCATATGTGGTGTGGAGCCTGTTTTTCTGGATCAAATTTGTTTACAATCTGGATCAATGCACTTGGTTTGAGCTAGGATCCCACTTTTGGGTGCTAATTGTTTTCAGGATCTTTCTTCAATGGATCTCCATTATATAGGAGACAAATAAAATGCCTCAAACTAATTATTTGGGGTAAGAATAAGTGCGATATCACTCTATAAGAGTAGAGAAACCATGTACGCTACACTCCAAAACTATGTGGAGCTCTTCAAAAAGACATTGTATTGTCTATACTAACCATTGAGAAATTGGAAGATACAAATATTTAAGTTTGTGTTATAAAACCTAACGGTAACAAGTGTGATCCCACAATGTCGTTTCCTATAATACAAACTAACGCTAATGGACATGAAATTAAGTATACTTGCAACGCACGTAGTTAGCACATTCAGGAAGGTAATAACAGAAGGCCAGTGTAGTAAATACGAAGCAACCGTCTCAACTGTCCCCAACACAGAAAAATAAGCTTTTCTGCATGCACATCATAAAAATTCTGAAAGAAAAAAAGGTTTTTGCATTTACTTCTCAGAATCATAAACATGCACCTTTTTCTCTAGGGAAGAGACTTGATTCTCAGCTGCAAATGGAGCTAAGTATTAATGAAGGAATGCAGCTCAGCTCAACATTATTTAGTGAGTTAAGCATCAAATGTAAATACGCCACAGAGCTCCGCCCAAAGAGACCAATCATTTGTTAAATCACAGCTCATCCATGGCTGCAGCAGTCTGCATAATATAGAGTAATTACTAGCAGTTACTCATGTTGTTTATTTGCTCAACTAATAACTCCCTTTCAATTTTTGTGGCGCTGGCTCTTTTCTCTTTGTTTTAAATGTTTTCCTTAGGTTGAAATATACTCCTTTCCTGTCTTACATATTAGCCGTTTTGCCCTTAATTCTTAATTGAATTTGTTCAATATAACTTGTCAATTTTAACTAATAGCCACTGATATATGAATCTAGTTATATATCTTCTCAAGAAGTTTTCCAGAAATACATTGAAATGTAACTTCTCAAATAACAATGAAGAACTAGTGAAATTAAGCAAATAATAGAAAGAAAAAAATGACTGACTAATATTTCAATTCCTAATGAGGTGAAACTATGAAAGTGAAAAAACCATTAAATCAATAAACCAACCTGAAATATAGTAAGTATAGTGTAGTACTCATATATTATCCCCAAGGAATATAATTCCTATATACTCACTCATCAATTATTACTCATTTACTGCATAAAACAACTTACAGGTGAATTCATTTACTCCTCTCTAACCACCGCATTTCCCTCCTCTATTAAACCCTTTGCCACCTTTTCATTCCTTCTCACTTCAAGCTAGTTACATTATTTACACACACTAACCAAAGATAGTAGAGAAGATCCATCTATATTGAGGAAATGGCTAGTGAGTTTAGGCTATTTTCTTTGGGTTTTCTGTTGTTTGCATTGGTTAATAATGCAATATGTCAAGAAGAAGAAGGAACGAGGAATGCTTTGGTGCCAGCCATGTTTATATTTGGAGACTCTTTGATTGACAATGGAAACAACAATAATTTGCCTTCTTTTGCAAAGGCTAACTATTTTCCTTATGGAATTGATTTTAATGGTGGCCCTACTGGTCGTTTCTCCAACGGTTACACCATGGTTGATGTAATTGGTAATATACACACATTTATCCACTTGTTTATATTTGTTTTTTTCTCCAAATATTTCATTTTCCAACCCTTTGTGCATGGAATATTTTCGATTTTTTCATCCTTTGTTTCTTGTTTCTATTTGGAAAAATATTATTGTATAACCACTCTTAAAATAATATCTGAAAAAATTATATATTTTCGATATGTTATATAAATTTTATACACTTTTACAACTATCGAATGTAAATAGTTTTGGCCGCGGGCTAAAAGTGATCTTTGCCCTTCCTATTTCCTTCTAAAGTTTCAGTACTTTCTATTTTTCTCCCCTTTTTGATAGAATATTAAGAACAATCATTACTTATAGTACTTTCTATTTGATAGAATATTAAGAACAATCATTACTTAGAGTGATTAAATAAAAGAGTAGAATATTAGCATACACAATAATCTAGCGAAATGTGATACTTTCGAGCTTAGATCATAGGTATAACAATATGTTAGACTCTAGTATTGTGGACTTTTTTTCTCAAATTTTGTTTTTAATTACTATAAAAAAAGAAATATTTGATTGTTTTTCCTAAAAGAGAAATAGGATTCGGTACGGAAATATTTCTTGACATGATAAAGAGAATTATTGCTTCTTGCCAAGAAACTTCTCATAACTAGATCAAGTATTTAAACAAGGATAAAAACAAACCAGTTATTTCATTTCTAAAAAGATAGATAAAATTAGAATATTGGGTGAATTAATTATTGACTCATTATTACTTGCAGCTCAATTGCTTGGACTACCCCTTATTCCACCATACACTGAGGCTTCTGGAGACCAAATGCGATTTGGAATAAACTATGCCTCAGCTGCTGCTGGGATTCTTGATATTACTGGCAGAAACTTTGTGAGTTTTCTTTTTAACTTTTAAATTTTTTGAAATATCCAATTCAATCCCCTCCCCCCCACAAAAAGAAAAAAAGGAAAAGGACAAAGAAATGGTACTTTTAATTTATTTAAAATGTCTCAATAACCCCAAAGCAAGATCAGAAGAAAAGAAAGGATTTAACGTATGTACTAACCGTGTAAAAAACTATCAATATAAATTTAACAAGTTATAGTAAGATTTTTGACTTACTTTTCAAGTTACTAACTTCACTTATAGTTATTTTTTTCCTAAACTGATAGTGTATTTTGTTTTTGATTTTTTTTCACTTTTAGCCCGCGTCAAAAATTATTTATATCTAATAGCCGAAAAAGTTTATGCAATTTGTATAATTTTTTGTATATAACATACAAT